ATGATTCTACAGACCATCCGCTCTGAGAGGCCTGGTGAGAGCCACTTGTGCAGGGAAGCCTCTGACAAAAGCTGACAAAAAGCTCCAGGGACCCTCATACTATCCATGCTGGAAGGAAGGTCTGTGAGCCAGGACTCAGCTATGACACTGAACAGTAGACAAGAGGGAATAGATGCTGCCTTCTAGTGCAGGAAGGATAGCTCTGCTTATCCCTCCCATGGGGCTGTGTGGCTCATGGCTCTGCACTGCATTCCCCAGCTCCTTTCTCAAAACAAAGCCTGAGCTACCCCTGGGGGCACTGGAAAGTGAGGTACTTGTTAGGCAGGGGTCTACAAGGGGACCGGAAGAGCAATGAAAAGCTCTTGCAAAGGACTCATTCCAAGCTGGGTAGCAGGCATCTGAGAAGAGCAGGCTTCCTGGCTGGGTTTAGAGTGTAGTGTAGGCTTCACCTCTTGGGAGCCCAGTCAAGGCTTTGAAGCTTTTCTGGGAATAGTGGTGTATGTCCCTCGAGGTGCATTGGGACCCAGGCTGCTCATGGTTCTCCTTAGAAAATGGATTCAAACATGCCTTACTCGGCTTCACCACACCCTCTGGTCCCCGCCCTCCCTCATGCTCTCCTTTGTGGCTACTTCACTGCTTGAGCCAACTACCTGTCACAGTGGAGGGGCTCGAAGGCCACCTTGGAAGCCTGCGTTGGAACACAGCCTTCTTTCCTTCCTGTGCAGCTCTCTTCTCCAACACAGGTAAGGCTGATCGTGGGAAGGAACAGCTGATGTTTGAGTCTGGAGAGGAGGAGGAGGAGGAGGAGGAAGAAGAAGAAGAAGAGGAGGAGGAGGATTTCAAGCCTTCAGATGGGAGTGAGAATGAGATGGAGACAGAGATTCTGGATTATGTGTAAGGAAGCGCTGCTCCCAGGCGACCAGGTGAGACCAGCAGCTATCCTCACAGAGAAACCAGAGCAAGGGCACAAGGAGTGAGGATGGTGGTGGGGCTCCTCTGAAAACCCGTGTCCTAACAAGAAGCCCTGGCTTTGTCCTGCTGCTTGGTGCTATGTTCTGTACTGGGTGGAGGATGCCCTGATTGCCATGCAGATGACCCAAGATAGATGTGGTAAACCTAGGGCACCCATCCTGGCAGGGGTCTTGTGAATCTAGTGACAGAGAGGGCCTGAGGAGCCTGGCTGGCCAGACCGCTCTTTGGTTTGGGCACTGTCTGTCTAGAGGAGCCTTGGTACAAGCCCAGCCTAGCCCTGACCTGTTAATCAGTTTTCCTGGGTGTCTCAACATGGGGTAGGGGTAACGTTGGGAGTGTTTCCTCTTGCCTGGGACTCTAGCACCTCATGTGTTCCTTCCCTCATTCAGGACATGCTGGCATGCCGTGATGGGACAGCTGGGACAAGCCTGTGCCCCCATCCAGGGCGGTGAGATGAGAACACTGGGCAACCCCAGGCCATGCTCAGGCTGAGTTCACCAAATGGACCAGCTCTTCAGTTCCCTGAAAACACCCTGTCTCCCAGCTCCCTGTTGTGCAGAGATCATCAAGTCCTTGCCAAGCAGGCCTCCATGGAAGGTCCCCAGGGTAGCAGCACCACTTCCTGAAGGGTGCTGAGCCAGAGATGCGTGGCCTCTGCCTTGAACAGCCTGCCACACACAGGCAAGTCACAGCACTTCCAAAGCCAAATGCCTTGAGCCAGCCCATCCTCCTGACAAGATTGAAGACCCATTGTTTGATTTGGCCCAAGTGGGCACTCCTGGGAACTTCCTGGCCTTGCAGGGAATCAGCCAGCCAGACCCTGTGTCCCCTGCTGACCCTGATTCCTGCTGCTTCAAAGAATGCTCAGCCCAGAGGCAGGAAGTACTTCTTCCCCAAAGGCTAGCCAACCTTGCCTGTCACCATAGGACTTCTTTCATAGTGGCTGCCAGGATACTTCAGCTGGAAGCTTTCCCACTTCTAGTGGCTGCCCATCCTGGTCCTTGGGGAGGAGAACTGGGTTCTGATCCCATCTACCCAGGAATGCTTTGACTCTGGATCTGAGGAGGGTGCTGAGTGAAGGACCCCATGCCCTCTGGAGGCCTCACCTACACAGAGCCCAGGGCAATGGCCATCCTGCCTTAGCTTGGACAGACTAGAAGGACTTCCTGAAGTCTAGCCACACTTGGCAAAGTATTGTAATTCTCCTGAATTCCCAGGTAAATAAAAGTGCTTTTAGTACAAAAAATATAAAACCCCCTCAGAAGCCAGTGCTGGTTTTTGATGCCCTGGTTACTTGCCATCTGACTTCATATCACTGAGTCTTGTTGCATATTGCACCCTGTATTGATTTTTCAATTTGTGTTTTGCTGGGTGTGTTTGAGAAAAGGCCACTTGTCTCTAACAGAACTACAGCACTTTGTGGCACTTGCTAGCCCAAATTCTCAAGAAGTGGAACAGTTAGGATTTATTATAAGCAGTTGGCTCACAGTTAAGGTACAAGTCCACAGCCTTCAGGGCATGGTATAGGGTGGAGATTCAGCGAAGGGCTGCAGTCAAATGCAACCTGCTGCCTGCATAATCCCACCCCTACCTCTGCTGCCTACCTTGTCTCAGCCCTGCAACAGGCTGGGCATGAAGCACCCCTGCCTGGAGGTGGGTCAGCACCCACCAACTTAAACAGAATCTCATCAGACAACAGCCTTATAGAAACATCCATGATACTTGACCAAATGTTTTAGAGGTCGTTGTTGGGTGGTTTTGTTTCTTTTGGGACAGGCTCTCTCTATGTATCTGTCCTGGAACTCACTGTGTGGATCAGGCTAATGTTGAACTCATTAAGATCCTCCTGCCTCTGCTTCCTGAGTGCTGGGATTAAAGATGTGTACCACTATGTCCACTTTGGCCGAATAACTGGGTACCATATTAGTCAAGTTAATGCATGAAGTTGATCACAATCCTTAACATGATTCCCAGTAATTCCCAGTCCTTTCCAGTGCCCCCATCCCGGCCTCTGAAGGCACCTGCACTCATGTGTACATACTCCAGAGACATACATGTACACATAATTTAAAATAACAAACCATTGAAGTATATATGTTTAACAGTTGATAAATTAGACAAAGTACATGACAATGTTGTAAGACGACTTAGGGTCATTTAAGCCTCTGCTCTTTGTCCTTGGGTTGGGTTCTACAGGCTGGTGTCTGCAGGGAACTCTGCACACAGGCTGCTCACTGACCCACACTGGGTCCACTACATCCTTTAAACTGTCTTCAGGGAACTACAGACCCTGCCCTTGCCACGCTAAGCACTCTGGCAGCAGCAGGCCTGGCCTAGGTTGTGGTGGCAGTTCTGCTTTATGTGTTTTCAAGGTTGGTGGGTTTTGTTTTTTAGGAAAATTTTTTTCTCTTGAACCCATTTACCTGCCCCTCCCCAAACCCAACCCCTTTTAAAATTACTTACCTATGTCCTGGTGTGTTTGCATTGGTGAGGTTAGTTTTCTTTGTGGTCCCTCTATCAATCTGCTTTGATGCCTTCAGCCCAGCCTTTAAAGAGATTGTGGGCTCTGAGCATCCAGCTATGGCCCTGGAATCACACAAATTTATCCAATGTCAGCAGCAGCCAGCACTACTGGGCTGTGTGACAGAGATGTGTCCTTGTGAGTGTGTCAGTGTAGAGAGTCACTCTAGTGCTGGGGAGGGGACACAGGGGTTCCCGTCCTTGATCAGTGTCACTGGGCGCCTGAGACAGTCTCCGAGCTGGGTACAGAGAGGCCTCTTCTGTGCCCTAGGCCACCTGCCAGGGTCAAGCCAGCACTCCCCAATACAAAACTGCCTTCAGAATCAGAATCAGAATCAACCCAACATGTGTTTCCTGCTTGCTACCCCACCTCTGCTGTGTCCCAGCTTCTTCTTGCCCCGACTGCTCATCTGCACACCTACTGTGTACCATGGAGACCTGCACACTGGATTGGGCAGAGCACACAGACACACTAGTGGATGTAGATGTATACCCCGCCCCCATGCTCTCGCACAAGTGGAGCTATAATCTGAGCTAGGGACTTGGGCTCCCAGAGGGGAGGGGCTACTGGCCTGGGAAGACTGGCCATTCCTGACCGGCTGTTGTGCCCTGTGGGTGTCTGTCATAAAAAGCTGTTTGTTCCAAGGCAGCTGAGCACCTTAAAAGGAGCCTCTTCAGACCTGGTTTATGATCTAACACCAGGATACCCTTTTCCTGGTAGCTGAGGCACACATCCCTAGGATGGTGGCCTACTCTCTGATGACCTCTTACTGGCCTTTGCCTCCAGGCCCAGTACGTTCCCCCTCTCTCCCTCCCTCCCTCATTCTGTGCCTCTGTCCCTTCCAGGCTTTGTCTCTTTCTGCCTGGGTGTGTCTGGTATTCCCAGGGAGCCCCATCCACCCGTAGTGAGGCACAGATGTGAAACAATACCCTTTCTCTGAAGATGTCACCAAGTCCTGGTGAGCCATGCCAGGTTTTGCTCAGGGAGCTCCCCTTCCATCTGTGCCACTATGTCCCCACTCTGCCTCCTGCACCCAGCTCAGCCTGCACTACCCCATACCTTAGTGCATTACTTGGGCTCTCTGAGTTACCAAGAATAAACCACATCAGTACCCAGTAGCATGCACCCACCTCTGGCTCAGGAGTCCTTCATAGATTCCCCACTAAGGTAAGGGGCGTTCGGTACCTCAACATGAAGCCCACCCATTTTTCTGAAGGTGACACTAACTGAACCCTGATGGGACAATGCAGAGCACCTGGCATCCAGTCTGAGTTGGCTCTGAGAGGCACCCCCTCCATAACATCCATACCACCTGCCTCTGCTCCCAGGTGGGCAGTAACCCACACAGGTGCACTGTAGGCACCACTCCGGGTGCTCAGGGCCAGCCTGACCTGGGAAAAAAGGACCATCCCACACCTGCAGGTCTGTATATGTGTTATGCACACACATGACCTTGGCCCCAGCTCCATAAATAGTGGAAAAGAGGAGAGAAGGCTGCCTAGAGGCAGATACTCACCATGAGGCACCTGGAGGTTCTGTTTCTTGGCCTCACCTGCTGCTTGGCAGCAGCTTGTGCTGCAAAGGTAAGCCAGAGCCCTACAGGGGACTACTGCCTTCTCTCATTCAATAAGATCTGGGAACTGGGACAGAGCCTGGAGGATAGGGGACAGAAAGAGCACAGAAAGGGATGGAGTGAGAGGCCAGTGAGCCCAATAGCACTCCAAGCTCTGGTCCTGCCTGAGACACCCAGTTTGTCTTGGTCACATGAAGCCCAGTGCGGCATGCAAAATTGCACTGGAATCTCAGACCAGGAGCAGTTTTATGTAAGGATGACCCATGCACTATTTGAAACAGTGTACTAAAAAGCCCACTATTGCTCGTGGTTTCAGGTATGCCTAAGTCTGGCAAGCCTCCCCACAGACCCTGGCTTTTTATTTTCTAAAAGGGGTACCCCCCAAGAGCGAAGCAGCTTGCCTGATATTACACAGCAACCACATCCTGTTCTCAAACAGGGATCTGAAGCGTCTGTTCCAAATGAGGGCTCTGCCTTCCAAGGTACCCTCCTGAGAAGGAGTGAGAGCCACCTGCTGTGTGCAAGGCTCTCCTCTGAGTGCCCTGAGGAGACTGCACCAGCTCTTCTAGGGTACCTGTAACATCTGCCCTTTAACCATCCTTCTCGGAAGTGTGAGGCCGAGTCACAGAAAGCTCAACAGATGCAAGAAGATAGCATAGGTCCCTGGACAGGGGCCCCAGCAAAACTCTCCAGCTGTTAGTTCTCCAGCCCTTGTCTTGTTTTCTTGGGCCCTGGAGACCATCCTCCCTCTCCTGGAGCCTGGAAGTTGTAGTTCTGGTCCGGGGCTCCTGCCATGGGAAGGAAGTTGTTTTCTTTCTTGGAAGAGATTTTTAGGGTATTAGAAGGACCTGAACTGCCACCCTACTGCTCCAGCACACATCCATCCTGCCACTGGCCAGGATCACTGCATCTGGCTCAACGTGAGACACTCAAGTCAACCACTACCGCACAGACACACTTCTGAGAAGTGGCCACACACACACACACACACACCTACTCCTAAGCTGGCTTTCTGACTCCTCCCAGTAACCAAGAATCTTAGATGACCCAATGCTCTGTATCTCCCTGGCTCCTCTCTTCAGTTTCCTTACCCAGTATAGTAGGGGGTCCATGGCCTGGACTTAAAGGGCTGCTGGGATACCAGCTTGGGCCTGAAGCTACAGGCCACCTACTTCCCCCTACCTGAAACCTTGCACAGAGGAGAAGCAGGAGGCCATACTATCACCACTGCCAAGTAAGTAGAGCTGGTCCTGTGTGTGCCCTGGACTGATGCAGGTAGGATAGGAGGGGACGTGCACTGCACAGAGGTTAGACAGCCTTGTCTCAACAGAACAACTTCTGGTGGGAAAGCCCTTGTACTTCAGTTTGCAGGGACAGTGGACAGATGAGTACCTGACTCCAGGCCTCTGTTTGAGGCTGGACACCAAACAGCAGTATTAATTGGCCCTGTGAAGACCTGGACATGGGGCCACCAGTTCCATGCCCATCTAGGAAGGCAGTGGGGAGAGGTGAGAGAAGGAGAGAGATATCTCAGAAACTTATGGCTACGTTAGAAACATTCTGGAAGTACTGAGCATCCACCACTGTCTGTAGTTAGACAGGCCTTCCCTCTGACAGCCATCAAGCCTTAGGGGAAGGCACTGTGGCCCACCTTACCTATGGGGAATTGAGGCCCCAGGTCTTAGCCAAGATCTAGACTGTCACTGCAGCTCAGCAGATGTGGGCCGAAGCGGCCTCAGATAGCTGAAGGAGGATGTGCCAGGGTCTGGGAGGAAAGGGAATCAGCCCCTCCAGCACTTGGCGGAGGACCTGCTAGCACCCTGGAGCCCTCTCAGTCAGCGACTCTGACACTGTCCTGTCTCACTTGCAGTTGGGTGCTGTGTACACAGAAGGTGGTTTCGTGGAGGGCGTCAACAAGAAGCTCAGTCTCTTGGGTGGTGACTCTGTTGACATCTTCAAGGGCATCCCCTTTGCTACTGCCAAGACCCTGGAGAATCCTCAGCATCACCCTGGCTGGCAAGGTGGGTGCTGGGTGCTGAATGCTAGGTGCTGGGTGCTGGGTTCTGGGCTTGCCCTGGCTGGTTGTCTTTACACCTTGCCCTTCTCTCACTGTAGGGACGCTGAAGGCTACAGACTTCAAGAAACGATGCCTACAGGCCACCATTACCCAGGACAACACCTATGGGCAAGAAGACTGCCTCTACCTCAATATCTGGGTCCCCCAGGGCAGGAAGCAAGGTCTGGATCCCAGTTTCCCGAAAGATCCGACCCTACCCCCACCCCAGAGCTCCAATCCCTGTTCTGGGTTCCATTTGGTGCTGCCAAGCTCAACAGCCCTGAAATCAGCACTGAGCTGAGGGGGTGCCCACTGCTGATCCTCACAGCCCTGGCTGAGCACCTGCTCCAACAGGGTTACTGAGCTGGCTGGGGAGAGGACCTGTTGGTGTCTGACATCCCCATCTGCCCCTTTCAGTGTCCCACAACCTGCCTGTGATGGTCTGGATCTATGGAGGTGCCTTCCTAATGGGGTCTGGCCATGGAGCCAATTTTCTCAAAAACTACCTGTATGACGGGGAGGAGATTGCCACTCGGGGCAATGTCATTGTGGTCACCTTCAACTACCGTGTCGGACCCTTGGGTTTCCTTAGCACCGGGGATGCTAACCTTCCAGGTATGTTGGAGCCTCTGATTATGAGAGCGAGAATAGTGAATGTGCAGAACTCTGTGAACTCTGAGCCCAGCAGAGAGAGGCTTCAGAAGCTTCTAACCTGATAGCTAGGTGAAGGCCCAGAACCTTCTTTACAGAGTTGGGGTACTGAAGCTAAACTGTGCGACGTGGAGCCTAAGGCAGTCACCAGGAAATGAGAGAGGCCAAGAGACAAACAGAATGGCAGAGGTTCAACTTGAGTCCTAGAGACCAGTAGGAAAGCCGAGGTAGAGTCAGGTAGACATAGATGTCAAAGGAAAGACAGACATAGGAGAAAACGTGCAGGAGGGAGTCAGGCCAAGCCACAGGGGGCTGTACCTCCCACCCCTCCTACCCCTCCCTCCGCTGCTACTCCACTTTTAGCTCAGCTTCCTGGAGATCCGTGATTTGCCTTCCTGGGGACTGGTTTCTTCCTGTTCAGGCTGACTCTGTGTAATCCCTAGGTCACTAATCTCTAAGCTCTTCCAGCTCTAGCTGAGGGCCTCCTGCTGAAGGCTCTCCCCTGACCCTCAGGTAACTTCGGCCTTCGTGATCAGCACATGGCTATCGCCTGGGTAAAGAGGAACATTGCAGCCTTTGGGGGGGACCCTGATAACATCACCATCTTCGGGGAATCTGCTGGAGGTGCCAGTGTCTCTCTGCAGGTCTGGGGCCCTCTGGTGTGGAGGGTCTGACCCCAAGATTGGGGAGGAAGCCAGTGGGGCCTAGGATAATGGTCAGAGCAGGGTATGACTGGGAGCCCTGGGCCCAGGTACAGCCTGTTGACAGAACTTCTGGGTGTTGCAGACCCTCTCCCCATACAACAAGGGCCTCATTCGGCGAGCCATCAGTCAGAGTGGTGTGGCACTGAGTCCCTGGGCCATCCAGAGGAACCCACTTTTCTGGGCCAAAACGGTGAGCACAGCAGGAGTAGGCAGGGTGCGAACCTTTCCCATTCCCTGCTGTCCCGGACCTCCATGCTGCCCTAGACCGTTTGTTTGCCCTTAGTCGTTCCAAACCTCACCACTGGCCTCTCTAACCTCCTGCCTCTGCCTTTCCCTAGATTGCTAAGAAGGTGGGATGCCCCACAGAGGATACTGGCAAGATGGCTGGGTGTCTGAAGATCACAGATCCTCGGGCCTTGACACTGGCCTACAAGTTGCCCTTGAAAAGACAGGAGTGTGAGTGGTGCTTCTGGGTGGGAGGCATGGAGGCATGGAAAGACATATTCCGGTACTCCAGAGACTTTTAAGAAGCCATACATGGCCAAGTGCACTTTAATCCCAGCACTCAGGAGGCAGAAGCAGGCAGATCTCTGTGGGTTCAAAGCTTGCCTGGTCTACACAGTGAGGCCAGCCAGAGCTACATAGTAAGACTGTCTTTAAGAAAGAAAGAAAGAGGGGGAAGGAAGGAAAGGAGGGAGGGAGGGAGGGAAAGAAGGAAGAAGGCAGGAAGAGAGGGAGGGAGGGAGGGAGGGAGGGAGGGAGGAAGGGAAGAAAAGAAACCAAACATGAATCCCAAACAGCAGAAACTCCTACATACAGGTTCAGGGAGATGCGTGGACCCAGACCCAGGGCCACCATGCTGGACGGTGACTCTTAAGCTTCTTTGTAAATATGGCAATCATTTGTAAATTTCCAAATACCTCCTGTGGAACTGCTCCCAGCAAACAGGAAGAACCAGCCTGCTAGCCTAGGACATAGGACTTTTTCCTTTGCTTACCCTTCCAAAGCAAATCTAGCAGTCTGAGTGTTTGCACCTTCCGTCTTTATTCTTCCCGTGGCATAGATCAACCCACATCCTGTGCTTGACAGGCAGATGCTCTCCCTCTGAGCAGCTCTGCCACTCAAACACACTATTTTATTTGGAGAGCCACTGAAGAAAGCCTGGCTGTGCTGGGCTCAGGCAAAGTCAGGGTCTCTGTCTGCTGAGCTAGCACAGGCCGGTTGGCAAGCCTGGAGGACAGGTAGGCCTCACCCATGGCGGCCAGCAAGCCACCTTGTCCCTGGTATAGGTTTAACAAGACAAGAAGGAGTGGACAGGACACTCAAGCAGGACAGACAGCCGTGGTCTGTGGAGCTGTGGGCTCTCCACGTGATCATGAGACAAAAGGAATGCTTTTTTCTGGCATACCCAGAAGGGTGCCAATGACATCTACCAGGTTATGCTAGGGGCACTACTCAGCATCCCACACACAGGACAGTCACCCTTATCACTAGCTGACTGTAACCAAAGGTCCCTGGGGCTGGGGCCTGGTCAGAAAAGGAAAGATGTCAAGTCTAGTACAAAAGGCCAAGAGGAGGAAGAGACAGGCTCTGGAAGGTGTAAGAGCTGTCGGCTCTCCCACCCAGACCCCATTGTGCACTACCTGGCCTTCACCCCCGTCATCGATGGTGACTTCATTCCTGATGATCCCATCAACCTGTACAACAACACTGCTGACATTGACTACTTAGCGGGGATTAACAACATGGATGGCCACCTATTTGCTACCATTGATGTGCCTGCCATTGACAAGACCAAACAGGATGTCACAGAGTGAGTGGGGGCAGGGAGGGAAGGGAGGATGGGGGAGGGGAGGGGGAGGGCAGGATGAAAGGGAGGGAGGGAGGTTGGTACCATGTTGGTGTGACCGCAGGCAGACACCACCAGGAGAGTTCAGTATGTTTCATCATCCCCATGCAGGGAGGACCTCTACAGGCTAGTCAGTGGACACACTGTTACCAAGGGGCTTAAGGGTGCCCAAGCCACCTTTGACATCTACACTGAGTCCTGGGCCCAGGATCCGTCCCAGGAGAACATGAAGAAGACAGTGGTGGCCTTTGAGACTGACATACTCTTCCTGATCCCCACGGAGATGGCTCTGGCCCAGCACAGAGCCCATGCCAAGTGAGGTTCTGGGAAGAGGTTGGCTGGGGAGGGTCATGAGAGGCCTGCCTAGACCTCTTGGCTAACTAAACAATGAGCACATCCCTGAGCTTCGCTTTAGTCACGGTTAAACGTGTAACAGAAGCATGTGCCTTGTCTAATCATGTGAGAAATAAGAGTTAGGTGGAAAAAAAAAATGCTCCTTGACCCTGGATTATGGGAAGAAGGAGGCTTCTGGATATTGTAGGGTGGAAACACAAACATTGAATATGGGCTATGGCGATTCTTTCTCTTATTATTAAGAACTTCAGTTCAGAGCTGGGAGTGGTGGCACACACTTTTAATCCCAGCACTTAGAAGGCAGATCTCTGTGAGTTTAAGGCCAGTCTGGTCTACATAATAAGTTCAAGGCCAGCCAAGGGTACATAAAAAAGACCGTCTTACACAAACCAACCAACCAACCAACCAACCAACCAACCAACCCTAGTTTTTTGGTGAGTCTTGGGAGGTCCCCCCAGGCCCTGCTCTGTTCTTCCTGGCCTCTCTCCAGGGCCTACCTCCCAAGGAAGCCGCCTACCCACCCAGCTGCCTTTATTCCCTCAGGAACGCCAAGACCTATTCTTACCTGTTTTCTCACCCTTCACGGATGCCTGTCTACCCAAAATGGATGGGGGCAGACCACGCTGATGACCTCCAGTATGTCTTTGGAAAGCCCTTCGCCACTCCACTGGGCTACCGGCCCCAAGACAGGACTGTCTCCAAGGCCATGATCGCCTACTGGACCAATTTTGCCAGGAGTGGGTAAGATGTGTGGTGGAGGCCGGGACCAAGGGCAGCAGACTTGAGGTCTCCTCTGTCACTGAGGCCAGGCAGGCCTGTTCTCTCACTTGGGCAAAGTTCTTATCCTTAAGCCTTGGTAGCTAGTTTGCACATGAGCAGAAATGCTGCTGACCCAGCCCCAGGGCCAAGCATGCACTCACTATGACTGAGCCTCGAAAAGTTGGGTTGGATGGCCAAGCTGTCTGTGCAGCGCTGTCTGGGAGCGCAGGCCTCCAGTCTCTTTGCAGGCACCCCCTCAGTCTCTTCTCACTCTGCAGGGACCCCAACATGGGCAACTCACCTGTGCCCACACACTGGTACCCGTATACCTTGGAGAATGGCAACTACCTGGACATCACTAAGACGATAACCAGCGCTTCCATAAAAGAGCACCTGAGGGAAAAGTTCCTGAAGTACTGGGCTGTGACATTCGAGGTGCTGCCCACAGTGACTGGTGACCAGGACACCCTCACTCCCCCTGAGGATGACTCAGAAGTTGCCCCTGTCCCACCTACAGATGACTCTCAGACAGCACCAGTGCCCCCGACAGGCGACTCTCAGGATGCCCCTGTCCCCTCAACGGGTGACTCTGTGGAGACTCAGATGCCTGCCGTCATTGGCTTCTAAAGTCTTATAAGCCGGGGCTGGAGAGATGGTTCAGGAGCTAAGAGCACTTATTGTTCTTCTGAAGGTCCTGTGTTCAATTCCCAGCACCTACATGGCTGCTCACAACTGTCTGATTCTGTCTACTGGTGTGCAGATGTACATGCAGACAAAGAACCCATAAACATAAAATACATACATAAATAAAGTCTTACAAGCCTTAGTCCCAGGGTCCTCCTCTTATTGCCTCTCCTTCAATAAAGCCTCAGCCCTCACCACCTGGTATTTGGTCTTTGCTCCTGAAACAGCCAGGAGGAAGGAGAGATACCCTGTCAATGGTGACAGGCACTTGGCCCCTCCCCTCCAATCCCCAGGCTGCAGAAGTCAAAGGACTATCTTTGGGGGTGGGGCAGTAGCAGTGTAGTAGGGAGGGAGGGAGAGGCTCTTTCAGGCAAGAAGCAGCACCCTGGGATCCTGAAAGATCTCATCCATCAGGAGCATCCTCCAGCATGGCCAGCATGTGTGGCAGAGAGGCAGGGCCATCTGAGGCACAGGCAGCCATAGGAAGCTGGAACCTACTTCATAAGCCACAAGAGTGCTAACCTACTGCTTTAAGCAGTGCACTCTGGCTTTCCCAGGCATGGTGCAGCAGGGGATGGAACCCTAACAAGGTTATCTGGAGTGTCTTAGGAAAGCGGTTGGCCAGTGTCCTACATGTCTGAGGTAATCCTCCTCCTTAGACTTTTACAGAGAACTTTGAAGCCTACTTGTCCCTAAACTGTGACCAAATTCTCCACAGATGTGGGACAGCTTTCTCTTGGTCAGGAAACCATCCTTGCAAGAGGCTTTTGGAACCTAGATCTTGCAGTATTGTCCACACTGGTCTTGAACACTCGGCTCAAGGACTCTTCTGCCACCAGCTGTGTAGCCCTGGCTGTCCTGGAACTCACTCTGTAGACCAGGCTGGCCTCAAACTCAGAAATTCGCCTGCCTCTGCCTCCCAAGTGCTAGGATTAAAGGCGTGTGCCACCACCGCCCAGCCAGACAGTGCTCTTAACCACTGAGCCATCTCTCCAGACCCCAAACCCTCTTTCTAAAAATTACATGTAGTTACTTATTTATGAACATGTGGTGTGCATGATCATGACATTTACAGAAATTGGATTTATCACCACCATGTCGGTCCCAGGGAGCAGACTTGGGTTGTCGGGCTTAGTAATGTGTTCTTCTACCTGCTGAGCCATCTTGCTGGCCTTACAACCTTCCATTTCTTTCTTTTTAAATATTTTTAAGTTCTATCTCATCTACCTACCTACCTACCTACCACTTATCTATCTACCTATCACCTACCTACCTCCTACCTATCTGCTATCCATCTGTCTACTGTATGTGTATGAATGTGGGATACATGTAAAGTACTCCAGTGTCTGAGGAGCCAGATCGCTGTGAGCGGCCTGGTGTGGGTGCTGGGAACTGAACCCAGGTCCTCTCCAGGAACCTTGCGTCTGGGCTCTGCTCTCCACACACTTCCTGACACCTCCCCAGACGTATGTGCTCTTAGCTGTAGAGCCCTCTCTCCAGCCCCCACCCACTCCCCAATCTCCCATCTCGATGGAGACTGAACCTTGGAGTCTGACATCAGCCATTCTCCTCAGGAGAACCCTCGGAGTGCTGAGAAGCTATAGCACAGAGCACATCAGCCGTTTAACTAGTGTGCTGCACATGAGGGTGTGTGTGCTCCTTCAGCATGCCTGGGAAGGGCAGCTGCCTCTTCTATGCCTGCATGAAATCAACTGAGAATCCTCATGAAAGAGTCAGAAAACCTGCTAGTAAGTAGCAAGGAAATAAAGAGAATAAAATCACGGTGAGCAGGCCATAGTAGAAACGGGATTTTTATATAATATTCAAGTCTAGCATTTTCTATTTACAACAAATAAATATTGCCCCACCCCAATCAGTAAACTTTTTACGTTTTATACAAATATCCAGTCGTCCTCCTCCTCCTCCCCACAAACCTCCCATTGCGTCCTCTTGTGCAGCCCGGGATGCAGCGGTGGTGAATGGCACTTTCCATGGTATGGGATTCAATACCAACAGGGCAGTCCATGAGGGGGCTCCTCTCTCTGATCCAAGGGAGGGCTTGGGCTCGTGATGACGAGACTCCCTCAACTCTGTAGGCCCTGACGGTGGAATCTTTGGTGCAGCCTGAGAAAGGCTAGAGTGTGGGAGGAAAGGCTGGGGCCTCCATAAAGGTCCCGGGCCAGTGCCTGTGGGCACAAGGAGAGAATGCAGTCAGCAGCCCTGCTGGGTGTGTGGGTGTTCTGGAGCATCCGGGAGCATGGGTGGCAGTGATCTGCACCTGGGGAGGTGTCAGGAAAGTGTGGTGGACAGTGTCCAGGGCAGGCAAGGTTCCATGCCCAGTTGGCAGCACTCCTTGGCAAAAGTCAGCTAGTCCTCTGGTTCCAGAGAGCAGAAGGCACCTAAGGCGGCGAGTGGTCCCTGGAGGCCAGGTCAGCCTGTCAGTGGCAGGTGTCAATCCCGGCAGCAGGAGAGGTTCAGGGTCAAAGTGGAGTCTTAGGGTAGCCTGGGCTGGCAGGTGGGCAGAGGTACCTGTGTGGCCTGGGCCACTCTAGTCTGTAAGTGCTTAGTCCCCAGTCAGCCAGGCCCTGGGAGACGTCCTTAGAAGATGCCTTTGGCAATCCTGAGTCCCTTCTGCTTCATACGAGGGAGGGTGGAGCTGGCTCCATGTTTGATTTTAGCCCCCTTAGTGAAAGTCCGCTTCTTTAGGATAAAGTCATAGTTGGCGGTAGAGTTCATGGCATAGAACACGTTGGCGTTTTCTGGAATCTTCAGCTCTGGAGGGAGAGGGACAGGGAGTGGTGCTTATGTGGCTGAGATGCCCCCACCACTAGAGAGCCTCCTCCCGGCCAGGCCACATCAGGGTCACACGAGTCCTCCAATCCAGCTCCAACAAAAACCTTTCCTGTGACCCCATTAGAGCAAGATGAGAGCCTAAGGAAGTCTCCCCAAACCACCCTTACGGCTGTCTCTGCTGGTTGGGACTTCCTGGAATCCACACTGCCTTCCTCCATGCTCCCCTGCTACTCACAGAGGCTGCAAGGACCAGCACAGGGCTGACCCTTCCTCTGGGTTCCATCTCCACTAGTCACCTCTGTCCATCATTACCAAGCTGGACTTGCTGCTCCTGTTGACCCTGGGTCTGACTCTAGTTCCCGAGCCTCTGTAGGCCTGCTTTCTGGAAAGGGGGCAGTCCCCTGACCCTGTCTATATAACCAAAACAGTGTAAGAAGCTGAGAGAAGGTTTGCAATGTAACATCTACATATCCTGGGAGTTATTGCAGATGGGAAAATGGTGGGATGGGGGTGTTCAGCTCACATCAGCAGTGTCTGTGATGACAACGTGCATGGGTGGCCTCTGTGGTGATGTCTCTCTCTAGCATTAACCTGCTGGCCAGAGCCTTCTTTTGGGGAAAAGGACATAGGCACAGAGCCCCTGAAATTCTCCAAGATCCTTGAGAATGGCCTGGCTCTTTGATTTATCTTTTTAATTACGTGCATGTATCTATGGAGGTCCAAAGAGGGCATCACACCCCGTACGACTGGAGTCACAGGAGGCTGTCAGTCAGCTGACGTGTGTGCTGGGAACTGAACTCGGGTCCTCTGGAAGAGCAACAGGTTCTAACTGCTGAGCCATCTCTCCAGCACACAGCAGACACTCTAACCACTGAGCCGACTCCCCAGCCTGGGCTTGGTTTTGATTCCATCCTTCTCCTTTCTAGAACACTGACTCTTCTGTGTGCTCTTTGCATCTCATGTGTGGATTTCTCTTTTAAAGATTTATTTTATGTATGAGTACACCATTGCTCTCTTCAGACACACCAGAAGAGGGCATCAGACCCCATTGCGAGGCACCATGTGGTTGCTGGGAATTGAACTCAGAACCTCTGGAAGAGCAGTCAGTGCTCTTAACCCCTGAGCCATCTCTCTAGCCCTCAGTGTGGGTTTATTTACTTTTATTTTACATGTGCTGGTTTTTGCCTGCACGTATGGCTGGGAAGATGCTGGACCTCTGCAAACTGAAGCTACAGACAGTAGTGAGCTGCTATGGAGGTGCTGGGAACTGAACCTGGGTACCCTGTAAGAGCAGCCAACGCTCTTAACCGGTGAGCCGTCTCCCCAGTCTCTCAAGTGTTGATCTTACACGTGAACATTCTTCCTGAAGTACCTGCTTTCTTATTTTACCCAGACAATGTCCCCTCTGCCAGACCCATGCATAAGCCTCCCTCCTCAACTTTGTCGGGAGGCCCAGCAGCAGATGCTGGGGCAGGGAGGAAAGCCTGGGTGCTAAGGGCTGCCAACAGCTTGTGTGGGCACCGTGGCTACTGTGCTTTCTAGAGTCTGGGCCTTGGAGCTGGGGCAGGGGCTGGTGCTGACCCGCTCCTCAGCACTGGCCTGCGGATTGACTGACTGACTTACTGTGATCCTCTGAGATGATCTGCACCAGCTCATAGTCCTCTGGCTCGTCCTCGTCGAGGTTGTGTTTGTCCATGGCTTTCCGGATGACAGTCGGAGCCTTATCCTGGCTGGTCACCTGAATTGCAATGGACAGCGGGTTATTAGGACAGGGTACAGTGGCCTACAACAGCCTGCCACCAACGCCCACACGACCTTGGGGAGCTGTGTGATCCTGAAGGCAAGAGGATCAACAAGCCCAGGGAGCCAATTATCTCCACTCCAATGGTAAGGAGGAAGCAGCTAATGCTCACTGGCCTCCTATGTCTTGCCCCGACCTAAGGCTGTGATGGTAGACAGCACAGGCTAACTCAGGGGGCTCAGTCATGGGGTCACCCAGGTGAATGTGACTAAGCACAGAGGGCTGAGGCTCCCCTGGGGTGGAGTATGGTAGAGTACCAGACCCAGTGTAGCAGCTGTCTGCAGCACAAGCCCTGGCAGGTGGGAAAGGTCCTCCCTGTGTGCCCATCCATAATCTGAGTAGATCCCATTGGCTCCATGTTCAAGTAACATCCACACCTTGACATTACTGACTCTGCCCATGGCCACCACCCTGCTTTGGCCCCTGCCTTCCTGAGCTTGGACTGCAACAGATTCTTAAGAAGTCTGCCTCCATCTTGGTCAGCAACCTATCTCCGTGGGCACACCAGGTCACCAGAGGCCTCTGTCTTAGACTCTAAGAGAAAACCAAGGGCCTTACAGGTCAATGGGGCCCTGACCAACTACCCGTTAATCCCTGTCC